AAAAAAAAAAAAAAAAAAAAAAAAAAAAAAAGAGAAAGAGAGAGAGAAAGAGATTGGAAGCAGGGAGGTAAATCACTGATTGGAACTTGAAGCAAAATCAAATGAGTTCTAAACCCTGGAACAGGGACTGGGACCATGAGGTCTCAGATGTGAGAGCTCTTAATTTCCTTAACAGAAAATCTGATGGAGGGAATATTGATTTCAGCTGGGCCTTCAAGGCTATGTAAGATTGCACAGGTAGAAAAGATGGAAGGTGATTTTCCAGGCCAAGGGAATTGTATGGGATTTGCACATAAACATGAAAGCATGCAGCGGTTCCAGGAAAAGTAGCTCTTTGGAGATACTTGAAGGGAGGGAGACTTCATGGAGTGATTAAGTAAAAGCCATGGACGAGGTGCGGTGGCTCACGCCTGGAATCCCAGTACTTTGAGAAGCCGAGGCAGGTGGATTGTCTGAGGTCAGGAGTTGGAGACCAGCCTGGCCAACACAGTGAAACCCCATCTCTACTAAAAACACAAAAAATTAGCCAGGTGTGGTGGCCGGCACCTGTAATCTCAGCTACTCAGGAGGCTGAGGCAGGAGAATTGCTTGAACCCGGGAGGTGGACGTTGTAGTGAGCCAAGATCGTGTCATTGCACTCCAGCCTGGGTGACAAGAGCAAAACTCTGTCTCAAAAATAAATAAATAAAGTAAAAGTCATGGAAAGGGCATCTGAGAGACTCACAGGAAGAAACTGCAGCAACCTGCCTAGACAGATGCTTAGGTGGGAGGTAGTGCACGCAGCCTTGTATTCCAAGTCAGGCACACCAGAGTTTGCCTGTCAACTGTCTCATGATTACTGACTGATGTTGAGCAACTTACTGAACCTCATTTTCTTACTATATAAGTTGAATATATCTACCTTTTAGATGGGTGTTAAAGTGCTGAACAAGTGAAAATGACAGACCCTCAATCAATGTAACCCTCCTCTTTTACCTCTTAAGGCAGAAACATCATTGAGCATCAGATGGTTTTCTGAATTGCCATTCATTGTCAACTATATCATTCAAATAGTTACTGACCACCTTCTACGCATTGGGCCCTATGCTAGATGCTGAAGGATGCTAAAAAATGCAGGCTATCAAAGAGACGATAATACAGTTGCGAGATGATAGGAGGAGAGATCAAAGGGGGAGTAAATGTCCTAGACGGCAACCCATCAGAGCCCTCACAAAGCTGCGCCCCATTCATGAACAAAGGAGCATGCAGACTGTGAGTGCTGTGTGTGATGTGCTGGTGGACAAAGGGCGCTGTGAGTTCAGAGTGCGGTGAGGTCACTGAGGGCTGGGATGTGCTGGAACGGTTTCAAGGAACAGGAGAAAGGTGAGCCAGGCCTGGAACCTAGTTAGCATTTGGAGAGCAGAATCACTGGAGGTGTGTGAAGTGACTGAAGGAAGAAGAGAGGAAAGGAATGATGTGTTAAGTGGCAAAGACCCAGCCATGGAGCAAGGTGAGCTTAGGGGATGTCTGGTTTGACCGTGTAGGAAGAGTCCCGGGAGAGAAAGCTGAGAAGGAGGCTGGTGTCAGATTATGGAAAGCTTTGGAGGTCGGGCTAAGGACATCAATTTCCATAATAAGCAATGTGTGTTTCATTGTGTACTCTAGGGCACACAGGTCCACCTCCACCCCACACTCTGCATTTTTTAATGCACTTATTCTGTAGTATGCATATATTGTACTATTTTCTCTATTGGATATATATGTCATACTGTGCCCTAAGGAATATAAATTCCACAGGATAGGTCGCATGAAGTTTTCCTAAGCTGATGTGATTAATGAGGTAGCAGATCTTGGAAGCTGGAGGTAAGGAAGGCTTAGGGATGTCCATGGAGAAGCTGGGAGAATACTGCTCTGATGGTTTGTAGGATGTGTCTCCACACTTGGTGCCTCTCCAAATGTTGACTTTAATGCTCTTAGAGTTTCCCTGATGGTTTGGACCTCCAGTTTGAACAACACCAGTATAGAACATATTTGGTGTTATTTCCCATACACTAATATCGGAATCCTGAAATATAGGTGTTATATGGTTTGGCTGTGTCCCCATCTAAATCTCATCTTGAATTGTAACTCCCACAATTCCCACGTGTCATGGGGGGCACCTGGTGGGAGGTAATTAAATCATAGAGGTGAGTCTTTCCCGTGGTGTTCTTCTCATGATAGTGAATGAGTCTCATGAGATCTGATAGTTTAAAAAATGGGCGTTTACCTGCACAAGCTCTCTCTCTTTGCCTGCCACCATCTATGAAAGACATGACTTGCTCCTCCTTGCCTTCTGCCATGATTATAAGGCCTCCCCAGCCATGTGGAACTGTAAGTCCATTAAACCTGTTTTTCTTCCCATTCTCAGCTATGTCTTTATCGGCAGCATGAAAATGGACTAATACAAAGCAGAAGGACCATTTCTGCTGAAGGATCTTAGATCTTCCAGATTCTTTTAGATTTTGCCTGATCAAACTTGACTGTCCCAAAACAAACCAAGCAAAGTCTGTTCAGCTAACAGTAGAACTGCTGTAGGTTTGTAATTCCCTCGTTCTCTAGAGACCCCTGTGCCTTGATATTACCAGTTGTCCTTTCTCAGCTTAACTCCAAAGAAGAAATCAACCAAAAACCTTGGGAATCCAGTGGCCAAGGGAAAAAGGCAAGAATGGTGCAGTACAAACATGGCCTGCCTGGATGTTTGCTTTGGTTTAAAGAGTTACTAGGGATAGTATACTAACCTTTTATTTTGCAGGGGCCTTTACTTTCCCGGTAAATAACTGTTTTTAAAGTAGCAGTTACTCCATGTGACTGGGCAAACAGATCCTTAAAATAGATCTGACTCCTTTCTGTGGATCAGCCAGGGTGGCAGCAGTGACACCAGGGCCATTTGTCCCAATTTCATGCCAGGAAAATGGTCAAGCTGTAGTGTCTGGGTTCCTTTTCTATCCAGGGCACAGACGTTAATCTCACGGCCTCTTGAAGCCATAGCCTACGGTGGACCCGACTACCACCAAAGAGTAGACTCCACACACAAGTGTCTGCAGCCCCAGGCACTGAGAGAGACCCTCCCAGGGGGCATGCACAGGGACCGTCTTACTGGCCTGGAGTAGATCACTTTGGTTTCACAGACTCTTTTTAGCGTGGTTCTCCATAGCAAGGGCAGCTAATGGGTGGAGGTGGATAAGGGGACTGGGAAGAGGCCATTCATAGTGGTTCCTACAAGGAACATGGTCAGTATCTCCCCTGCCCAACAGAAGCCCGCTCCTGCATTTGGGGATCTGTCGCTACTAGGTTGACTGGGTCATGCCAAGCCCTCAAGGCCCTGGATGCTGACCATCTTCAGCCTATTTTTCTCCCCCCTTCCTAAGTATTTCCTACTGGAGTAAGACCAGCTTTTTACAGGCACCCCCCAAGTCACACACACACATGAACCGTGTGACAGTCTTCTCTTCTGGCCTTCGTTCATGCTGTTCTTTCATCCTGATAAGTTCTTTCCTTTCTCCTGTATCCATTCAAATCCTTCCCACCCTTCAAGGTCTGGTGTAAACCTACTCCCTCCATAAAGCCTCCTCAGAATGTTCCTGTTTGGTCCTGCTTCTTGTCTCATTTCACGTGGGTCACTTCAGTCTTCCCATGTAGTTTGCAAGCCCCAGAAAGCAGAGGATATGTTGGGTCCTTTTCGCGTGTCACCCGCATCCCCTAAAATAGCTCTCATTTCCTGTACCACTTATCTCTTCTTTGTAGTTTACTTAAAAAAAAAAAAAAAAAAACTTTTTCCCCCCCATAAGTCACTGGGAATGATGCTATTCACTTCTGAAGTGCCCATAGCTACTGGCACAAAGCTGGCGATCAATACATGTTTACTGATTGGATAATTTATCAATAGCCTATATTGAAGAGACAAAATAGTAACTAAAATGATAAAAGCTTGAGCACAGTCCATGAATCTTACTTTGGATCCTTGAAAATGACCATGTCTAAACACATAATGGCCTTTTCATGCAGTTCTCTTTCATTTAATTACCTAATGAGGGAGTTTGACTCCAGCTTCTCTTATGTTCATTTACAACAATTCAAACTAGTAAACTTCAAGTGAACATCCTCACATACTGGATCTTGATCATGAGATCTGAGGTCCTGCTCCTGGAGAAGAGAGCGGAAGATACTTCATTAGTCACCAACCAATCATTTCCCACTCAGCCCTAATAGGGAGTAAGCATGACAGCTATGAGCAGTAGCCACAGGCTGTTCAGGGCAAGGGAAAACATACGGAAAGAGATCCAAGGGATGCGAAGCTGGAATGAAGGGTTTCAGCTTCGAAAGGAGAAATTGATTGATTCTCAATCTACATACTGTGGCCAGAAGTGGCCTGAAGACTCACAGGACCAATTATGCAAGTGGCATAGCAGACACCAGAACCTGATGAGACCTCCAAGGGAGGGAAGCCAGGCCAAAGCTCTCTCTGGGGAGCAGCCAAACCTTCAACAGTCATGGAACAAAGTCAGGAAAAGTCCCTGAGAGGAGCTAAATTTATCCAGGTTGCCTCTAGTGCTTGAGGGCATGAACTTAGGGGGAAAAAAAAGAGCAAATGAGAGATTATTTATATGCCAGAGAGAGAGAGACCAGAAAAGACAGGACAGTACCTATGACTGATGGTCTGCAACAGCACAAGAGGGAGATCTCACTGATGTTGACCAGCAGCAGCTGCCTAGCCATATCTCTGTGTGTGTGTGTGTGTGTGTGTGTGTGTGTGTGCGCGCGCACTTGCGCGCGTGCACTGCTTTGGGTGTATATCTGAGGATCTTTATACTAGGGATTTAGAGTGGACAGAAGATCAGGAATGACACCAAGCTTCCACTACCTCTGATGGCTCCTAGGCATGTAATATTTTCCTGGAGAACTAGGTAAACAGCTGAGAGTTACAAAAGCATGCCAGCTCCTACCCAATGCTTGGAGAATGCAATACTCAGGGTACGATAGCTTGGTAACATAATGGCAGAATCCCACCTACTGATGGATCACAGAGAAAATGCCGAGATTGTTGTCAGTCTGGAAAATGTTTCTAATTTGGAAGGAGCTGGAGGAAGCCGTGATAATGCCCACTCAAGGGTGGCTCTCAGTAAGTGGGCGGGAGGAAGCAGGAGGTGATGGAGCGCTTGCTGAGTAGCTATTGGTAGTTTTCTGTAAATACTCTCTCATTCAATCCTTTGAGGTAAGTATCATCTCCAATTTATAGATGACAACACGGAGACTCATGGAGTTTACATAACCTTAGCAAGGTCACCCTGATAATAAGGATTGAAGTAAAGGTTCAAACTTCGGCTGCCTAGCTTCAAAGCCTGGGTTTTTTCTACCCTACTGCCGTGATTCCTAGCTCTCTCTACACCCATCAAGTCTAAAATCAGCCAGAGAACCTCCAGGGAGAGCCTGGTGTAATCAGGACGTGTGAGTTCTTTGCTCATAAAACCTCCTGCATCTTGGACCAATCCAAAGATAACAATCTACCAACACCTTCCCTGGGCCAACCAACCACTCTCCTACTTGGAACTTCTTCCGAAGGGACGTTTTTCTCAGAAAATGTTTAATGAGATGAAAGGTGGCTGTTGTTGCATTTTCCCTTTGCTTTCATCATGTGATAACCCCTCTGGTCATGTCCCAGTCTTCTTGGTCTTTGCCCTCAGCACTGTGAAAGTACATATTTGCCCAACCTTTATACCACATAGCTCTGAGCAGCACATGCTCTGATCTGGCTGAGTTCACTTAACAGAAGGGTGGGTGGCCTCCTACTGACCCTTTCAGGAAACACCTGTCCTCACCTGGTTCCCCTGAGGCCCATGCTGGTGGCAACTGTGCTGGGATGGGGGCAGAGTACGCGGGAGCCATTTCTCCACAGGAAATCCAGAAACAGTCCCACCAACTTCTCCAGGATTAACCTTTAATGCCTTCAGCCTCGCTTAAATCTTCACACTTCCCTTTGTCACTTCAAGCATTAGCTACATGTAATTGTAACCCATGTTCAATACTCAGGAGGAAAAGAAGCAATAAGAAACTCACACCATGGTTCGCTTATTCAGAGACGAGGGTCCATTCTAGGAGCTCCCTGTATTCTTCCTTACTCTTCCCATCCTAAGGCTGGTGCTCTTTGGGATTTGGGCATCTTCTGTTCTCGGTGTGTTTATTCTCCCCAGGAAATCTCATCCTTTATTATGGCAATGATCCTTAGATCTCTCTCTTCTCAGACCTCAGCACCCACCTGTCTACTAGAAACTTCCATTTAGAAGTTCCTCAGGACGAAATACATGTTCAGTAACTCATTGCTGAATGTGTGGATTGTTTAAACCGGAAAAATGAGCAGCTCAGGCAGAAGTAAGCCTCTGATTCGTTGAATTTTATAGTTCCCCCATTTTATTTTATTTTATTGTTACGGCTTTGTGAGGCAGTTTGGAGTGGTGGAAGCATCACAATCCTCAGAATTACAACTGTGTTTAGGTCCTGACCTTGCTTGAACATCTATTTATTTATTTTCTCCAGACAGAGTCTTGCTCTGTTGCCCAGGCTGGAGTGCAATGGCGCAATCTCAGCTCACTGAAACCTCTGCTTCCTGGGTTCAAGCGATTCTCCTGCCTCAGCCTACTGAGTAGCTGTGATTACAGGTGTGTGCCACCATGCCCGGCTGATTTTTTGTATATTTAGTAGAGATTGGGTTTCACCAGGTTGGCCAGGTTTGTCTTGAACTCCTGACCTCATGATCCACCCACCTTGGCCTCCCAAAGCGCTGGGATTACAGTCATGAGCCACCTTGCTTAGCCTTTAATATCTATTTCCATCTGTCTATCTGAAGATTACAGGCTAAGCTCTGAGGTAGGCAGTATGGAGTCCCGTCCAGGATTCTAGATCCGGTTCTGTTGCAAAAGGGCTCTGTAGCTTTGAGCAAGTCCCTTTGCCTCTCTGGATCTCCTGAGATAGTTGAATTGCTAAGCTGAATTATCTAAGACCCATCTAACACTCACCTTTCAGGGTGAAGCATTCTAACACCTCTGGGTAGAAGTGTTTGTCAGACTAACTTACAGTTTTTTCTGGGAGGAGATACTATAAACCTCAGCAACTTGGCAGAGTTCATTCTGTTTTGCCACAGCTTTGTCCAGACTCTCTGAATGAGGCTGGGAACGAGTTGTTGGTTTCAACACTGTCCAAAATTCAGATTTCTGTCATTGTAGCTGTCCACAGAGCAGGCTTGAAAAGGAATGTGGAAATATCTGTCTCTACAGACGCCTGTGTTTGTCTAGCTTGTCCACTTTCTTTCCTTCTGATGCACAGGCTTGCAGAGGCAGCTGTTGCCTGAATAGACAGGTGGGAGCTTCTCTGCATGGATGATTGACTATAAGGGAGCTGTCGCTGCAGGTTGGTAACGGCTTGACAGACATGCTAGATGCCAGAACCACGGCTCTAAGTGAATTGCTACCTTTCCAAGTATTCCCCTCAGTAGGTATGTAGGGATACTAGGTGTTTGAGGAATACTATTTAATTATGATAGTAAATCCATTTAAATTTTTTTATTTTTAAAAAACATATTTTTCTTTAATTTTTTTTTTTTTTTTTTTTTAAATAGAGATGGGGTTCTTGCTATGTTGATCCGGCTAGCCTCAAACTCCTGACCGCAAGTGATCCTCCCGCCTCGGCCTCCCAGTGTGGTGCCTGGACCTTATTTAAATTTTAACCAAAGTGACATAGACCCTGAATTAAAAAAAATCAAATGTGCTAAAAACACTTAACTCAGCAGTCCTGTAGCCTGCTGACCTCCTCCTTCACATCCTGCTCCCCAGAGATACTTGCATTCAAATGTACTTCTTTCTAATGAATGATATATACTTCCATATTTTATTTTATTTTTTATTTTTATTTATATTTTGAGATGGAGTCTTGCTCTTGTCACCCAGGCTGGAGTGGGATGGTGTGATCTTACCTCACTGCAACCTCTGCCTCCTGGGTTCAAGAGATTCTCCTGCCTCAGTCTGCCACATAGCTGGGATTACAGGCATCTGCCACCATGCCCGGCCAGTTTTTGTATTTTTAGTAAAGATGGGGTTTCACCACATTAGCCAGGCTGGTCTCAAACTCCTGACCTCAGGCGATCCACCTGCTTTGGCCTTCCAAAGTGCTGGGATTATAGGCGTGAGCCACTGCACCCAGTCATACTTCCATATTTTAAAGACTGTGCTCATACTGACGTTGTTTAATTAATAATTTGATATTGACTGGGCGCAGTGGCTGATGCCTGTAATCCCAGCACTTTGGGAGGCCGAGGTGGGTGGGTCATGAGGTCAAGAGATCGAGACCAACCTGGCCAACATGGTAAAACCCCTTCTCTACTAAAAATACAAAAAAAAATTAGCCGGGTGTGGTGGCATGTGCCTGTGGTCCCAGCTACTTGGGAGGCTGAGGCGGAAGAATCGCTTGAACCCAGGAGGTGGAGGTTGCAGTGAGCCGAGATTGCACTACTGCCCTCCAGCCTGGTGACAGAGCAAGACTCCTTCTCAAAAAAAAAAAAAAAAAATTGATATAACTGTTATTAGGCAGGGTCTCATTATGTTGGCCAGGCTGGAGTGCAGAGGCTGTCACAGGAGTGCAGTGTAGTGTCACAGTGCACTACAACCTCAAAGTCCTGGGCTCAGGCAATGCTCCTGCTTCAGCTTCTTGAGTAGGTAATACTATAGGTGAGCACTACTGTGCCTGGCTAACTTGTCATTATTTAAAATTTCTATTGTAGATGAGGTTTTAGATCTCTGTGGCTCCCTTTTTCTTTTCAATTGCTTCCAATTCCTCCTGCGGAGGAGTCAAATAATATTCGGCATTTAGATTATTACGACATAGATTGTTCATGCTAAGCCAAGTATTCGATTATAATTTCAATTTTTTGATTTTTTTGATAATTAATGATTGCCTGTTTACATCTTTTGTTTTCTTCTTACTTTTTTTTTCCCCTTTTTTTCCCTCTCCTTTCCTTTTTCTTCTTTTCTTTTCTCTCTTTTTTGAGACAGGGTCTCATGCCATTGCACATGCTGGAGTGCAGTGGCACAATCACGGCTCACTGCAGCCTTGACCTCCTAGACTTACGTGGTCCTCCTACCTCAGCCTCTCAAGTAGCTGGGACTACAGGCATGCATCATCTCACCTGGCTAATTTTTTGTATTTTTCGTAGAGATGAGATTTTGCCATGTTGCCCAGGGTGGTCTCAAACTTCTGGCCTCAAGTGATCTGCCTGCCTCAGCCTCCCAAAGTGCTGGTGTGAGCCACCATGACCAGCCCTTACTTTTTTTTTTTAACCTATGGCTAAATCCCTCTACCCCATTCAACATCCTTTCTGTATAAAG